TCATTGATGTTATGTTGTCCAGTCTGCTGTTCCCTAGCCTCCCCCTTTGATTCGGTTCCTTTAACAAACCTTATTTTGTTTGCCTCTATGCCTGCTCCCTTGTCCTCCATTCTGCCTGCATGTGACGGAATGATGGAACTCCAAAAGTCCCTGATGATTCCCTGGCTGCAGACTGCCGTACCATTCTGGGGTATATTTGATGCTGCTCACCCAGCCTGCAGTCCACCTCTCTCCAGAGACGGTGGTGCTTCTCTGGGAGTTATGGGGGTGCATAACCTCCCTCACCTTGGATTCAACAATTGAGGATGTGCTTGCAATAGTGGGGGTCCTCTATGAAGAGTGTGTGTGTGTGTGTGCGTGTGTGTGTGTGTGTGTGTGTGTGTGAGCGGGTTTACCTATCCTTATGGAGACATAATGTCCCCATAACGTGATAAATATCCGTTTTTCTTCCCTTATGTGGACCAGTTTCCTGGTCCCCATAAGGGAAAACTCTATTTTATAAAAATTGGTGACTGCTATGAAAAAAACTAAAAATGCAAAAACTCTTGTATTTTGTTAGGTTGCTTATGGTTATGGTTAGGGTTGGGTAGAGGTTAAGGTTGTCATAGTTAGCTTTAGCATTTTTCCCATTGAAATGAATGAGCGGTCCCCATAAGGATATGTTTACCCTACATGTGTGTGTGTGTATGTGTGTGTGTGTGTGTGTGTGCCCCATGGAAGAGGACACTGTTGCCGGCTCCAAACCTGCTGACCCCATGTTGCCTGAAGCCAGACCATCGAATGAGTGTCTGGGACCCTTTGTGGCACTGCTACCTGCAACAGACAGTCTCTGTCTCCCTGAGCCTCTCCATTAGCTTGTGCTATCAAAGAGGCTCCCAGCCATGCCTGAACCTGACTTGGACAAACCTGCCTTCGTGTCTTGCCCCAATGAGGTCTCCCCCACTTCCACTGAGCCCTCCTTTGTCCTTGTTGCCCCCATCTGCTCCAGTTCTTACCCTGCAGGCCCCTTAGTGCCCTCTTGTCCCTCTTCCTGGCCCCATCTCTACTCTTGCCCTGCAGTTCTGGCAAGAAAATATACATCAATTACTGGACTGTTTCTAAAGAAACACAAAGATATATTTATTTGCAAAATGCACGATAAATAGCCCAGTCCAGTGATTTTCAACCACTGGTGAGAGATTGTAAGGTGTGCCATGGCAAATAATCCAATTTCACTTAATTGGTCTAAAAAACTTTTTAGAAAATTTATTATTATTTGCAAATAATATGCCATTGTCGAGTGTCTGGGCTGTAATAGTGATGTATTCTAAACAAACAAAGCTATATTTCAACATTACAGTGATCCCCTGCTATACAGTGGTTCAGCTGTCGCGCCCCTGCTATATCGTGGATTTTTCCCTGACCCGTCACAGTTCCCTGCGTATCGCGTATGGTCCGATTGTTTCCGGTTTTTTTAGCCCTACGATGGCTCCCAAGCGTCCTGCGTCTTCTAAGCCTTCTGGTAGTAGCGAGCCTAAGCGCCAGAGGAGGACCTTGACCATTCAGGAGAAGGTTAAACTGGATATGCTTCAGGAAGGAAAGCATTACGCAGACGTCGCTCGCCATTATGGCTTGAGTGAATCGACGGTACAATACATCAAGAAGGATGAAAAGAATATAAGAGCCACTGCATCACTTCCCTTTAGTCAAACAGGAAGAGGGTGGCATGACCTCAGAATAAAGTCATCCTTAAAATGGAATCACATACGTATACATTACATATTATTATTATTAGTTTTATGTTACTCATATCCTTAGACAAAGTGCGGCTCGTCAGACCCTTATGATGAACACAAACATGGATTCACGATTTCCCTTGCCCGGACGCGGGTCACCGGGGCCCCCCCCTGGAGCCAGGCCTGGGGGTGGGGCTCGATGGCGAGCGCCTGGTGGCCAGGCCTACACCCATGGGGCCTGGTCGGGCACAGCCCGAACAAGGCACG